GCGCGCCTTGCCCGCTGCTCGGCGTGACGCGGGCCCCGTGCCCCGCGCCCACCATGTCCTACCCGCAGGGCTACCTGTACCAGGCGCCCGGCTCGCTGGCGCTCTACTCGTGCCCGGCGTACGGCGCGTCGGCGCTGGCGGCGCCGCGCAGCGAGGAGCTGGCTCGCTCGGCGTCGGGCTCGGCGTTCAGCCCTTACCCGGGCTCCGCGGCCTTCACGGCACAGGCGGCCACCGGCTTCGGCAGCCCGCTGCAGTACTCGGCCGACGCCGCCGCCGCCGCCGCCGGCTTCCCGTCCTACATGGTAACCGCGCGCAGGCGGGTGGGAGGGGACGCGGGACACCCGGGCGACGGGACCGCGATCGGGGCGCGAGGGCGCGGGGAAGTGCCGTGGGCGGTGGCTCCGGAGTCTCGGACGCGGGCCGCCGCGCCGCGGGCGGGACAGGAGGCCGGAGTGAGAGGCAGCGCGGCCCGCTGGAGACGTCCCTTAGACCGGAGGTCCGCGCCGCTTCCCCTTGGCTTTCGGGGTGATGTTCCCAAAGAGCCTGAAAAGTGCGACACCGCTGGGGTCGGGAATCTGTGCTGGGTTGTCCTTCGTTCACGCGCCAAAGCCGGGCGATGAGTGCAGAGCGGGCCGGGAGCTCGCTTCTCTCGGCCCAGGGAGCGAGGCTCGGCGCCCCTGGGGCGTCCGGGGCGACTGCCGGGCGCTTTGGGTTCACTTGCAGGTCTTGGGGGTCACCGGGTTGGGGGGAGGGGGCGGAGGCTCGGCGGCAGCTCAGGGGCCCTGCCAGGCGCGACAGGATCTTGGCCTTAATCTGTCGCACAAGGCCGTGCTTTCCAAAAACGTGTCGGCGGGCGTGCGGCAACCCTAACTGCCGCCTCAGTCCCTGCGTACGGAGAGTAGCCCCTGCTTCCCCGACCTGGGGTCGGCCCGCTCGCCTCTGGTTCCGCAGCTGGGCCCGGCCCGTTGGTGGTGACGCCAGTTTCGGGCGATTGAGGCCGTTACGGGGAGGGGGATGTTGTCGCCATGGCCCGCCCTCGGTGGAATTCGGGGGCAGCGACATCGGAGCTGGGGCCTTGGAGGAGGCTGCAAATGTCTCGAATTTAAACGTTAAAGGCTGAATTAAAATGCTAATTACCGCGTATTTGAAGAATTCGAAACGGTGACTGGCTTCTGAGTTGCAAATTGGATTTGCGGAGCTTTAGAGCGGTGAATAGCGGAGCGGGGGCTCCGGGGTGGTTTTTTAACCATGTAAGGGCGGGGAAGGGGGAGTAGGGGGAGCCAGCCAGAGAAATTTAGATATCAAGAAAGTACCTGTGGGTCCGTGTGCGTGCATGTGTGCGTACATCTGTGCCCGCAGCTCAGGGATATTTGGGGGGAAGATACGTCATTTTAGGAAAGTGAAATAGTTCAAAAATTCGAGAATAGAACTGCAGCGTTTTCGTGATTAGCAGCCTGTTTTAAATTATGCGCTGCGTTTTTTCCTGCTCATTTGCTGCGGGGAAATAAGGCTCCAGCGCGGGACTCACCCTGGAAAAGGCGGCATTGGGAGGGCGGAGGGGTCACGTTTGGGCCGATGAGGGCCAGGTTCCCGCACACCCCGCTAACCAGGCTCTTGTTGGTTCCAGGGCGCGCCCTACGACGCCCACACGACCGGCATGACGGGCGCCATCAGCTACCACCCGTACGGCAGCGCGGCCTACCCGTACCAGCTCAACGACCCGGCGTACCGCAAGAACGCCACGCGGGACGCCACGGCCACGCTCAAGGCCTGGCTCAACGAGCACCGCAAGAACCCCTACCCCACCAAGGGCGAGAAGATCATGCTGGCCATCATCACCAAGATGACCCTCACGCAGGTCTCCACCTGGTTCGCCAACGCGCGCCGGCGCCTCAAGAAGGAGAACAAGATGACGTGGGCCCCGAGAAACAAAAGCGAGGATGAGGACGAGGACGAGGGCGACGCTGCAAGGAGCAAGGGGGAGAGTCCCGACAAGGCGCAGGAGGGCACGGAGACGTCGGCGGAGGACGAAGGTGAGCGGGGCCGCGGCTGGCGCGAGGTCTTAGGGGGAGCTTTCTTCCCAGGCGGGCGCAGAGCCCAGGTCGGGGAAGGTGCTGCCCGCCGCCCCCAGGTGCGCGGGGGGCCGACCGAGTCGGTCCTCGGGCACTTCCTGGGGAGGCTGTGCTCCCCCTAGGACGTGGCTGGGGTGGGCTGGAGGTGGGAGATCACGTGGGGAGGAGGGCGCCCGGGGCCCGCGCGTCGCCGCGTCCCACAGCCCTGCCCGCGCCCCTGCAGGGATCAGCCTGCACGTCGACTCGCTCACGGACCACTCGTGCTCAGCCGAGTCGGACGGGGAGAAGCTGCCGTGCCGGGCCGGGGACCCCCTGTGCGAGTCGGGCTCGGAGTGCAAGGATAAGTACGACGACCTGGAGGACGACGACGACGACGAGGACGAGGGCGAGCGGGACCTGGCGCCGCCCAAGCCCGTGACCTCGTCACCCCTCACCGGCGTGGAGGCGCCGCTGCTGAGCCCCCCGCCGGAGGCCGCGCCCCGCGCTGGCGGCGGC